CTCATTAGGCTTTTTGTTTCTTTTCCTTTCATTCGTTTTTTTTTTTTGATGAAAGGGGAAACACCTTTAGATATAGAGTCATAGAGAGTTAAATTACTAATAAGAATGAGTTTTCCGAGACAATATAAAGCTTGATAAGGTTTCTGATACTCTTACTTCCAAATTCCATTCAGTCCTTCTCTTGAGTGACTGAAAACTTCGTCGTTCATCTTCTCTCTGACGTTTTTGCACAAATATGCTGATATAAACTAAAAAAGAGAATGCATGAGGTTTGAAAACAGGGGATTTGGGTTTAGGGTATGGTACCAGATAAAGATGAACTGGCCATCTAGGACGACAAAGAGTGATAAAAATGAGGGTAAAAGACGTCCTACATGTATATCTCGATGCTTGCCTATAATCAATGATGAGAAAATTAGATATCAATATTAAGGTCAAATAAAATGAGCTAGTATATCCTGTCAGAGAGAATATCCATGAATAGAAGTCCTCTGGTGGGAATTATTAGTGCAAGTATTTTAGCTACCGCCTAGTCTAGTGCTAACCACAAATGAGCTATCATGTGAAGTGCAATACCTGCTCGATCAGAAGTCGATTACCTCGGAACAACAGAAATGGGATTCGAAGTTGTTGGGGTTGAACTACAAGATCGAGTATAAGCTGGGCACTGAGAACCGTGTCGCATACGCCTTATCCAGGAGACCAATGGAGGAGTCCTTCTTCGAACTCAACATTACCGGTCCTCTGGCTCTGGATACGACATTGTTGGTTCACGAGGTAAGCCGTGACCCTGATTTCCAGAAACTGATTGCTTCTATAACAAATGGTGACTGCTCTTCAGAGTACACAGTGAAAGATGGGTTGTTGTTTAAAGAGGGCAAGTTGGTGTTACCGAAAGGATCAACATTCACTCCGAAGGTGTTGGAACAATTCCACTCGATGCAACATTGGGGGCCACGAGGGGGTCTTAAAAACTTACAAGCGTTTGGCTCGAGAGGTTTATTGGAAGGGCATGAAAAGGGATGTTGAACGGTTCATCACCAACTGTCAGATTTGCCAACACAACAAATACTCCACACTGTCACCGGCCGGACTTTTGTCTCCTTTACCGATTCCCAAACAGGTATGGTCAGACATTAGTCTCGATTTCATTGACGGCTTACCCGTGTCTCTTGGTTTTGATGTGATACTAGTGGTGGTCGACCGTTTGAGCAAGTACGCACATTTCTTGCCATTGAAACATCCGTACATGGCAAAGACAGTGGCTGAGGCGTTCATCAGGGAAGTGGTGAAGTTATACGGGTTTCCAGAGAGGATTGTGTCTGACCGCGATAAGATCTTCCTCAGTCAGTTTTGGACAGCTCTTTTCTCTTCCCAAGGAACAGAGCTTCACAAAAGCACAGCCTATCACCCGCAGAGCGACGGTCAGACTGAGGTAGTCAATCGACGGTCAGACAAAAGCACAGCCAATCACCCAAGACTTGGATCAAGCTACCGTGGGCAGAATATTGGTAAAATTCTTCCTTCCACTCGCCTTTCAACAACACACCATTCCGAGCTCTGTATGGGCATGATCCTCCTCGCCTTTTATGATATGGGGATGTTCCTACAGCCATCGCTGCGGTTGACGATATGCTCCAAGATCGTGACAGTATTCTAGAAGAATTGAAGGGCAACTTACCGAAAGCTCAGAAACGCATGGAGATAGCTGCTAACAAACATCGCAGGGCACTGGAGTTCAACGTGGGAGATATGGTTTATTTAAAGATACGTCCATACCGATAAGCATCCGTTGCTAAACGTCGGAATGAGAAACTAGCTCCTCGCTACTTCGGCCCTTTCGAGGTCCTTCAGCGTATCGATACTGTGGCGTACAAACTCAAGCTTCCTCCACAGAGTTTGATTCACCCTGTTTTCCATGTCTCTCTCTTGAAGAAGGCGGCTCCAAGCCCTGCAACAGTGCAACCGATACCAGCCATACTCACACCTGAGTTGGAGTGGAAGACATCCCCGGCTGAAGTTTTGGACATTCGCAGATCCATGCTCTCAGCTGACCCGGAGGTGTTGAGCAGTTGGAAAGGAATGACTGCTTTTGAAGCTTCGTGGGAATCAGTCAACAAGATTGCTGCGGACTATCCAGATTTTCATCTTGAGGACAAGGTGATTTTTTTTGGGGGGGTCGGTGGGGGGGGGGGTATTGATAAGCTCGCGGTTCCTCTTGCGTACGTGAAGAAGAAGAAACGCTCAGGCAGAGAGATAAGAAGACTCAAGGAGAAGACATTTCAAAAGAGTGGCTAAGTGTGTATAAGCCTCTGAGTGAGATAGAGTCTTTCATTTCCCTGTCTTAGTATTGTCATTCAAAACTATGTTGTATGAACAGTGAACTCTTGTATTTAAAGCATCTGATGGTTTAGGGTTGCCTTATCTTATAACATTAAGCATTAAATTGCATCTCTTCTTGACTGCGCAAGATAGGTCATTGGCATATCTGAAAACGTTGAGTCACAAGCTTAACAGAAATTTTTTAATTCTACTTTCGGCCTTGTAATTTCTTTATGTGCGGTTCGTGTGGGTGTTTCGGTATATGGATTAGTCATTTCTTAATCACCTAAACCAAAAAAAAAATTAGTTAATTATAGAATGAGAAAATTGTATAAAAAAACAAAGAAAAAAGAACGGAGAAGGGTTTGCTCGGAGAAAAAGAAGTTAATTCTTATTTTTTGGCCACCAGAGGCAAGTCTAGTCCGAAAATACTTGATTGTACCTAAACCGGAACGAACCGAGCCAGTAGCAAACAATTCTCTTGGTTAAGTTCCGGTACAATTCAACAACCAATTAACGGTCGAGTTTTAGAAAAGGAAAAGGAAACATTAATCTTGTAGATTTAATAAAAAAAGGAAATAACTAATCGACCAATCAATGAACCAACAAGTTTCAGAACAAAAAAAGGAAACTCAAGCTTCGAGACATAACTCTCTCTGTATGTATATAAATCACTCAGCCTCCACCTGAGAAAAAAAAAAAAAACAATCCCACTCTTTCTCTTTGATTATCAGTGATCCTCTGCAAAATCCAAAACTAGGGTTTCAATTTGTTTTGTAAGAGTTTTCTGAATTCTGCCATGAACCCCGATCTGGTGAAAGTAGAATTAGTTACGGAACCGTATACTCTACCTCCAAGCGTAGGGTTTCTAAACACCATCAGGATCCATATGCATGATGGCGAGATCATCGAGGAACTTGTTGAAGATCAAAACGGGATGGTAACGCATTTAGGATCGTACCTGGTTCCATCAAATGTTTCTTGCTTCGAATTGATACCACGTTACTTCACTCCACATCACATCTCTCAACTCCTTCACCTTCACATCGGAGAAACTCAACTTTGCCAGATTTTGGGTCAAGCGATCGCTCTTGACTGTGCTTTGCTTCACGGACGAGGACGTTTTCTATTGTCGGTCCACGTTAAATTGACGAGACAGGTTCGATTTATGTTACCCCCGTCTGTTACTGTTACGTCAAGGACTGCTTCTGATTATGTGATAGGAAGATTGGCGGACGAACAGAGAGTGAAGACAATTGATCTGGAAGGAAAAGAAGAAGAAGAACCGAGATCATGTTCGATTTGTATGGATGACTTGTCGGAATCAAGTCATGAATACGTCATTGAGATGCCTAAATGTTTACATATGTTTCATCAAGATTGTATCTGCGAATGGCTTAAACTTCAGAACTCGTGTCCTTTGTGTCGGCAAGTTCCGTACGATGATTAAGATCATGTGAAGCCTTGAAATAGACCCGAAGATTGGCGCTTAGGGTTAGGGTTTAGGCAGGGTTTGGATGTAAAAGTTTTATTTGTTTTTCGTATAACTTTGGTAAGGATTATGTAATTTGTTCACTTTCTTGAGGGATTTCTTAGATATGATGCATTGATTTCGTTATGTGTTATGTATCAAGAGAGGGCCATAGGGTTATTTCAAGTTTTGATCACCTTTGTATGTGTTCTTGTGCTTTTCACTCTCTTTTTTCTCCTTTTAAATGGCAATATTATACGAGGCCGAGGAATTCTGTTTCCGGCATTCTCGTTAATTATTTATTAATAGCTC